CTAAACTGCCCTCCCTCTTCTGTCACAGCACTGTTTTATTGTCAGTGCTCTTGTTCTCCCTATAGAGTATGAGATTGGGATCAGGTTTCATAGTCCCGTGTATCCCCAGTGCTCCGCACAGGGCCTGGTGTGGAACCAGTGCTTGGTGGATATTTGTTGAGTCAGTGAGTGAAGGCGGTGTTATGAGCCGAACAGCTGGGAGAGCAACTGATTCAGCTAATAAAATCCCAAACTGCTCATGCAAGTTGGGTCAAGGCAAGAAGTCCCACTGTCGTCTACTGCACTGGTCAAGCTACAGCTGGAGTGCTGTACTACATTTTAAGAGTGAAATGACAAGCTAGGGAGCTCAAGGTTGTAGGTAGCTATTCTAGGAATTTAAAAGAAAAGCAATAGTATCACCAGGGAAAACCCAATAACCCACTGCCATGAGGCCTCTGTTTGCATTTACCTTCTGCTCAACATATTACATGTAAGTTGAGTAGTGCACGGTGGCAGAGCTAGTTGGAAGAGAGAGTAGTGTAGATGAATAGGCCGAGTTTCTATAATCAAAGGTAAAACAAGCACTGAATTTGCTTATATTCATGGTTTTATCTTTATATTTATAGACCTAAAACTTAACTTTGGTCAGCATACCAAAATGAGATTCATTTAGCGACACTTCCTACTTGGGTGTGATCCATGAACCAACAGCATCTGCACCACCTGGGAGCCTGGTAGACATACAGAATCTCGGGCCCTCCCCAGACCTACTGAATCTGAATTGGTATTTTAACATGATCCCCAGGTATCCATATTAAAGTCTAGGAAGCACTACCATAGATCAATGCATAAACCAGGTGCCAATTTGCAGGAAGAAATAGAACTATTATGCAAACCATAATATAGTCAGCCTGTACAGGGCATCTTCTCCATTTAGGAAGATCAGGAGGTTGCCTGGTGACCCCCACTTCCTCACCACCACCACCCCACCATCACCACCCCCATCCCAAGGAAGTGACTTTTCAGCTGAGTAAGTGCCCACTAGGTGAGAGGGAGGCGGGGAATGTTAGAGAGTTTTCCAGGAAGAAACAACTGTATGTTCCAAGGTCCTAAATGGAAACAGCATGGTATTTTAGAGGAATTGAAAAATGTCCAGAATGGCTAATCAACAAAGAGACAGGAGGAGAGAGGCATAAGATGAGGCTGAAGAACTAGGGTCCAGATGCTTTTTGTCTGTTTTTTAATAAAGTTTATTTCAGAATAATTTTAAATTCACATAAAAGTTGCAAAGATTAGAGTTTGCATATAACCCTCATCCAGTTTGCCGTAATGTTAACCCCTTACATTATGGTGGTACGTTGTCAAAACTAAGAAACCAACACTATAACTATTTTTTTTTTTTTTTTTTGTCTTTTTTCCGTGTCCGGCAATGGATCGCAACCCTCAGTGTCACGCCCGTACCGGACCGGGGACCGGCAACGGGATCGCAACCCTCGGCGTTGCTCCCGCGCCTCGCTCAGCCAGTGAGCGGGAGCCGGTCTGTATGTGGGATCCGAACCCTCGGACGGGAGCGCCGCCGCGCTTCCCAAGTGGCGCACTTATCCAGTGCGCCACCGGGCCGGCCCGACACTATAACTATTAATCAAACTCCAGACTTTATTTTAATTTTACTAGTTTTTCCACTGATGTCTCTTTTCTGTTTCAGGATCCAATTCAGGATACCACACTGTGTTTAGTTGTCATGTCTCCATAGGCTCCTCTTGAATGTGATAATTTCTCAGTCTTTTCTTGTTTTTGATGACGACAATTTTGAGGAGTACTGGTCAGGTATTTTGTAGAATGTTCCTCAATTTGTGTTTGTCTTATTTTTCCCTGGGGTTATGGGTTTTAGGGAGCAATAACACAGAGATTAGACATCCTTTTTATCACATGATATCATGGGGTACTATCAACACAACTTATCATTGGTGATGTTAACCTTGATCACCTGGCCAAAGTCGTGTTTGCCAAGTTTCTCCACTGTAGCGTTACTTTGTTTTCACTTTCTATATTTTCTTCTCTGGAAGCAAGTCACTAAGTCCTGCTCACACTCAAGTGAGGAGGGAGGATGACACAAGGCTTTGTAGAAGGATTTGAGTTTCTAAGAATAATGAAAAGCCATTGAATGAATTTTAAGCAGAGGGGTGACAAAGATTTACATTTTAAGATTAATATGCTGGCTGTATTGAATGTACCAGAGGGGACAAGAAATGGACGTGAGTACACCAGGAAAAAGCCTCTAGCTGTGGTCCAGGCAGGAAGAAACAGTAGCTTGAACTGGCATAGGAGTTAAGGAGAAGGAGAGAAGTGGATACATTAAGAAATATTCAAAAAGTAAAATTTCCAGGATTTAGTTAAATTTTGGTTGAGTAAGAGGCATCAAGGAGAGGAAGGTTTGAGGATGATTCCCAGGAACGAAGTTTCTGGTTTGAGCATCTGGTTGGGTATTAACATGGTTGAAAGCAAAAGGACATAGTCTGAGGACTGGCTAACGGAGGCAGCACCAGAGGTGTGGAAGCACAGTGCTATTGGCCTGATGCCTCTGCTGAATTCTGGAGGCATTGTTTCTCCATGCATCCCTGTCTATTCTGCATAGCACTGTACCCTGGGCAGAGCCCTTTAACAATGAAACAGCCTTGTCCAGTTAGGTAAAGGTTCGATTCTCTTGGGGGAAAGAGTCTTCCTCATTTACTCCAAATCCTTGAGAATAACAATTCAGCAGTCATACTCTACATTTTAATCAAAGATTGTACTTTCCAAAGCACTAGAATTTGCACTTATAGGTACATGTGACGCTAGGTTGAAGTTAATTAGGATTCTGAATCCCCAGAGAGCTCTGTGGGCTTGGGTGTGGAGTCTTATGGCAGAGTTATCGATGTCCCCATTTTCCCAATTTTAAAAAATTGTTCAGAGCCATATATTATCTGAGGCAGAAATCAAGATCCTGAAAAGATCTGGAGTCTGTGACAAAAGAGTTTTCAGATATTGGGGACAGAGCATGTGAGTGACATTGTAGGAGCCTTCTTGAACAAGGCAAAGATGAGGTCAGGTTGTTCATTGGGGAGGTAGATTGTGAAGGGCCTTGCAGGCCATTGTAAGAACTTCGTAAGAACCCCGACTTTTACTCTGAGTAGGGTGGAAACCACTGGAGAGCTGTGAACGGAGAGATAACATGAGTTATCTTACACTTTAAAGGATCCTTCTGACTGCCTGTAGGACATAAACTATAGAGGGGCAAGGGAATAAGTAAAAAGACCAATTAGGAGGTTACTGCAAAATCTATGCAAGAGATTTTGGGTGGCTCAATTCAGGATAGCAGTAGTGAAGATGGTAATAAGTAGTTGAATACTGGATAGATTTCAATAATAGAACTAAATAATATTTCCTGATGGATTGAATCAGTGGGTGGAAAGATGAAGATTAAGATGATGAAGGATTCACGGGTTAGAGGTCTGGGGGTGATCAAGAGATGGTATTCAGATTTGGACATAGTGAATTTGATGTACTTGTTAAACATACAAGTAGAGAGATATCAGGTCAGTAGTCTGTAGTTCAGGAGAGAGGTGTTGTCTGGAGATATAAATTTGATAGTCATCATCATATAATTGATCATTAAAGTCATGGCACTGAATGAGATATCTAGCATGTGACAGCAGATAAGGAAGAGAAGAAAGCCAGGGACTAGCCAGGGCACTCCAATATTTAGAGTTAGGGAATTTAGCTTGGGGAAATAAGGAGGATTCTGAGAAAGAAGTGAGTTCAAGGACACTGAGAAAGAAGTGAGTTCATAAGTAAGCCAAGCTACCCTGGCCGAAACTACTTCCCTACTGACTTGTCCGAGTGTCCTAATCCCCACCATTAAGAATCACACCTTGTAGGTAAAACATTAATTAACTGAAATCCTCTGTGAGAATGCACATGGCCTGAGAGAGAGAGTGGTTCTGGTTTCTTTATTAAATTTATCCACATCTTCCTGGAAAAGGTAACACAAGCCCTGAGGGAGTTCAGATTGTGTTATGGCAGGAACAGAACAGGAGGGAAGGTCTAGAACAAGGTGTAGGGTTCCTGTATTGCAATCAGATTTGCTGACCTAAAATTAGAACATAAGGTCTAACAAAAGGTATAATTTTCTAATTTGTGAATTTTTATTAAAAAGGAGTTTAACAATGGCTCAACATTGAATCATTTACCTAATTGTCTTTGTTCAAGCTATCCCACAGTATCCTGCATATCTTATTGCCATATCCATCAACCCCAAATGGCAGGCCAGAGAGGGAAGGTTGAGGGGGGAGGGCATCGGTGGAAAACTAGAAGCAGCCAGGGGCACTGGGGACTACAGGAAGCAAGGAGCCAAGAGGAGGTGGAAAGCAGACTGTATTAGTCTGTGTTGCTATAACAGAAATACCTGAGACTGGGTAATTTATAAAGAACAGAGGTTTATTTGGCTTATGATTCTGGGACAGCTGCATCTGACACGGGCCTCAGGCTGCTTCTACTCCTGGCAGAAAGTGGAAGGCAGCCGGCAGGTACAAGCAGATCACACGGCGAGAGGAAGCAAGAGAGAGAGAGAGAGGAGGTGCCAGGGTCTATTAAACAATCAGCTCTTACGGGAACTAAAAGAGTGAGAACTCATTAATCCCCCCTACCCCAAGGAGAGCATTAGTCCATTCATGAGGGATCCGCTCCCATGACTCAGTTTCCAACACTGCCGCACTGGGGATCAAATTTCCACATGAGTTTTGGAGGGGACAACACATCCAAACTCCACCACAGACCTTACCTACTAGGCATCCAGCTTGGTGACACAGAGAATGACCTTTGGGTAATGGGTACGCCCTTAAGAGAAAGCCTGCCATGGGGCAGAAAAGACACCACCCTCCTGGTCATCATCTCTTAATTCAATACCTGTCTCCTGTATTGAGCTTCTACCCTTTCGCTGAATTTCTAGGCATACCCCCAAAATTAAGACACAAATTACATACAGAGACAAATACATACTATTTATTTATTTAAATGAAGACAATATTTCCATAACTCTGGAAAGTCAAGTTACATCATCAAAATTGTTTGTTTGAAAGTAGATGTAGTATGTGTTGGCAATAGTTCATGTAAGAGTCAGAAAAATTTGTCAGGTTTCACAATATGGAATGTCCTTTTTGGTCAACAGTATTGCTTCAGTAGAGATAACATTTCACAGACCTTTCCTGTAACTTCTAGAAGAGTCGGCCAGTAAGATTTAGGTTCAAACTTCTTTACAAAGCCATTTTCCTATAAAAGAATAAATTTAACATTTTAACAATCATTGGAGACACATAAATCATGTCCACACAAGTGACAAAAGGATTGGAAAATTGTTGGGTGTTTTTTTTTTATTAAAACATTTTTTTTTTTAATGTTCAGCCAGTAAACATTTGCTCTGCATTTTGCAAGTCCCAGAATCTAGGGTTACACATGTCTTCCAAGTAGTCCCTAGCCTAGTATGACTAATACTAAAACGTAAACCAAGCGTATCTCTTTGACAGTTGGAAAAGACTCACGAGCTCTGCAGGGCCTTGGAATCGTCTTTAGGAGTGTCAGTGGCAGAGCAGGTCAACACTGGCCAAGGGAATTTTCCATTTGAAAAGTGGCCTTAGAAAGGCAGCTTCTGCCTGCACTTTAAGAGTAGGGTCATGCTCTGAGACACATGCTGACATGCCCCAACAGAGGGAAGAAACCGCTCCCTCTCTTCCTTCTCTTCCCCTCCTGCCCTTGCACACGCACATATATTTTCCTGTACATTCGAAGTATGGATGCATGTATGCCCCTTCCTAGAATTTTTTATAAAAGCTATATTTGGCTAGTACAACGAGATCCTCTACTTTTCATTATTATGACAATGAGCAATGTCTATCACAATTGGTAGTTAACATGTCATCTTATTTACATTCAACTTTCTAAAGTAGGGAGTGAACAAAGGAAAAAATTGACAAATTCAGCTATATAAAGATTAAATTTTTTTTAAAAACTATAAAAAAACTAAAATTAAAAGAACAGACTAGAAAAATATTTACATTTACCATGAAAGAGTTCATTCAAATGTAAAAGAAAATCATTAAGCCCTTAGTAGTTAAAAAGGGAAAGCCCATTGAAAAGAGAAATATAAATCATTAACAAGTATATGGGAGGAAATTCAACATTACCAGCGGTTAAATAAATTTACACTTTAACAGAATACTATTGTTTTTTAGACCTATTAAGTTGGCCATGTTAAACCCGCAAAATTATTTTTAATAGTACTGCCCAATGCTGATAGGGTTGTTATGACATTGCTCCATCAATAAAATCCTTTTGGAAAGCAATACGTATTCCAATATGCGTGAGTAGCCCATAGCTTATGAACCAGTCATTCCCCTGCTGGAAATTTTTCATGAGGCAGTTTTCTAAAATATTTGTGTTTGGGCAGGGGGAGGAAGCTGGGGGAAAACATACACATATTCAGTATTGAATCATTATTTCTAACGGGGGAAAACTGGAAACAACCCAAATGTCTAACTAACAATTGGTAATTGGTTAAGTAAATTATGATATATCAAATTGGTGGAATATTCTGTAGACATAAGAAATGTTAACATGGAATATGAGAAGTGGTGTTGAAAATATTTATAATGCAATGTCACAAGAAAAATACTCTTATGTACATCCTAATTATAATTACATATAATGTTTGCATGCAAATATGTTTGGACAGTGGGAGTGAATTTTTCTTCTTTCCAGAATATTTTTTTCAAATATATTCTTTTCAAAAATGTTTCCCTTAATGATGCTATTTGTATCTTAAAACCGTTATATAAACATAAATATACAAATAAGGGTTTGATATCCTGTCAGTAATGTAGTAAACAAGGATTGCCCAGGTCTGATTATTTCTGGAAATAGTGATAATTTGTTAAATTCAGCTACCTTGATTTCAAGAAAGGCAAAAGTATAAAATAATACACTGTATCAATAATTCAAAGAAAATCAGAAACTCAGAATTTTCGAAGACATAGACAAATACCATGATGTTATTCCCACTTCTCTAGAGATTATTCATTTATTCATTCAAGAAACATTCATTGAGCATTAACCAGATGCCAGGTACCATTTAAAGCACTGGAAACACAGTGGGGAACAAAACATTCAGGATCCCTTCTCTCACTAAGCTTAAATTCTCATTGCAGAGACAGACAATAAACAGATAAGCAAATAAATATGTAATGTAATGTCCAGTTGTGAAAACTATTATGAAGGAAATAAAGCAGAGTCCAGGGATAGAGAGTGGCACTGGTACCATCTTAGTGGGGTAATCAAGGAAGACTTCTCTGAGGAGGCAACCTTGGAGCAGTGACTTGAGTGAATGGAAGAAGGGAGCCGTGCAAATGTCTGGGGGAAGATTATTCCAGGCAAAGGCAACAGGAAGGGCAAAGCCCCAGAGGATGGAGTGTGCTTAGCTTATCCAGGAAGGCTGGAGCTATGAGGGCACAGGAGGAATTAGGAGAAAGTGGGATTTGAGAGGTAGGTAGAAGCCAGAACACATAAGGCTTTGAGTATGGTGGTCAGGACTTTGCATTTTTGTTCCCAGGGTGAAGGGGCATCTTGAAGCGTTTTGATTAGGCCAGGACATGATCTAATTCAAGTTTTTAATATATCACTGGCTGCTATCTGGAGAACAGATTATAGCAGGTGAAGGATGGAAGCCAGGAAACTGGTAGGAAGCTACTGATGCAGTCAAGTGAAAGAAGGTGGCCTAGATGCACTGGATATATAGTATTTCAAAGGTGCAGCCAACAGGATTTGCTGATGGATTGGATATAGAGTATGAGGGAAAGGAGTCAAGGCTGACTCCCAAGACTAGAGAGCTAGCGCTTAGAGAGCTTTTCTGAAGGATCCGTAGGGAGAAGTGTTTTTCTCTAACTCCCGTATCAGTATCATGCATTTCTACATGACTTGAACTATGTCTCACCTTATTTTTCATTAAGCGACTTTGAAATCTCAAGTTAAAATTCAAAAGAAATATGAGTATTTGGCCCCAAAATCTATTTAATGAAAGGATATTTATATGGATACATAAGCTTGTATCATGTCAACACTAGATCTTTACACCTTTTGGAAATGCTTTTGCCAAACTGGACACTTAGTCAATCATCTGTACGTCCCTATATGCCCATTTATTTGGCCTCAAAATGAACAGAACATTATTTAGAGCAAGAGGCTGAAAAAAATAAAGAAAAACCTTTTCACTTAACTCTTATGGCCCAAGCTTTAACATGCTGGTTACTTGGAAAGCACCAACTCTGACTGTACAACTCTACTTTCAAGGAGGCTTTCTTTTGGTATTAAAATAGTTTCAAGAATTCTATATTTAAACTTCTTGGAATTTCCCATATAATCCTCACAGTTGCTTAGTATTTGACAGTTTATAAAGCATTTTTACAAAAATGTTTTCTAATCCTTTAACTTCCCTTCTAAGGTAGTTATTATTGTCTTTATCATATATTATGTGTATATTATTATACCATTTTATATCATATCATATTATTATATACATTATATAAGGGATGTGAGTTTCAGGGTACTTCAGTAACTTACCCAAGGCTATACCTCTAGTGAGTGGGAAAACCAGGATTCAGATCTCCAGCTTCAGAGTCAGTTCACTCAATCACTCCATCAACAAATATTTGTTGGGTACCTTCTATGCAATAGGCCCTATGCTGAGCACGAGGTATACAGTGATGCATTAAGTAGACAAGATTCCTCCTGCATGGAGCTGAGGGCCAAGAATTCTTTCCAGTCCACCAGCACAGACACAGGAGAATGCTTCGTCAAAGAGGGTGAAAGTAGGAAAGCCACCTTAAAAAGGAAGGGCAATCCCAAGGAGTGAGACATGAGTTTCATCTCAAGCACATTCTAATGGCTCTTTTTTCTAATGGCTTTGAAGAATCATCCTTTCTTCATGAATGCTGAAGACAGCTAAAAAATAGCACTAGCTCTCCTATCAGATCCGGTGAGAGCCCATCCATTTTCAGCACTTCAAATTGGCAGAGGGAACAGGAGAAAATAATGGCAAATGTGGAAGAGGAAGAAAAAAGATGAGAAGCCTCAAATGGAAGAAGGAAAGGAAGGAAGGGAGGGAGGGAGGAAGGAGGAAAGAAGGAAGTTTGATCAAGCTGATAAAAATGAGAAAGGGAATAAGATATGAAACCGTAAGTCCCATTATTGATATACCAGTCTTATTTTTTCCCTCTAGGGCATCTGTTTTACATGGTGACTAATATCTAACCGTAGGTGATCATATAACTTATGGAGATGGAATATATTTAATCAGATTTCTCCATGAAAGCTAGGCCAATACTACTAATAACAGTAACAATAACCCTAAGCTTGTATTGAGTACTCATTTGCAGGAACTGTTCCAGGTGCTTTTTCTATATTAACTGATTTGATTCTTATACCAGTCCCAGGAGAAAGGTTCCAACCTGGTTTTACAGACAAGAAAACAAGGTTTAGGGAAGTTAGGTAACTTGTTCATGTCACACATGTAGTAAACACTGGAGCCTGGAAACAAATTCAGGTCTGTTCAGACTTGTTGCTCTTAGTATCTATGCTGTGTTCACAGACCACATTCTTGATCCAAAAGTTTTGATAGAGGTCTTCAGGCACTTTTAAAATTGAATTAAATTGGGCAGTCCTATGTACGGGGCACCCCTGGAGCCTGGCTTGAGGCTGGGGTTCGGTTGTGTCCAGAGATGATTTAAGCCTATTGCCCACAGCTGCACCTGGTCGAGGTGCCCAAAGAACCGATTGAAGGGTATGAGCATGATGAGAAATTTTTGAGGAAGATGCACCACGTGCTGCTGGAGGTGAATGTGTTGGAGGACACCCTGCAATGCCCAGAGTCTGGGCGTCTGTTCCCCATCAGCCGCAGGATCCCCAACATGCTGCTGAGTGATGAAGAAACCGAGACTTAATTATGCCGGGCATCAGTTTTTCATTCAGTGACCCTGTATATGTTTAGGTATATCTGGCTTACTAGTTCTGTTATGTGTGTTTCCTAACCCTTAACCCAGTGACACAGAACACAGTGTTCTGGAGCTCGATAGTATATATTTTTTTCTCATTAAAAGTTCAAAACCAGGGCCGGCCCGATGGCGCACTGGAGAGTGCGCCGCTTGGGAGCACGGGGGCACTCCCGCCGAGGGTTCGGATCCCATGTGGAGACCGGTTCCCGCTCACCGGCTGAGCGCGGTGCGGGCGCAACACCGAGGGTTGCGATTCCGTTGCCGGTCCCCGGTACAGGCGCTACACCGAGGATTGCGATCCCATTACCGGTCAGTAAAAAAAGACAAAAAGGAAAAAAAAAAATTCAAAACCAAAAAAAAAAATTGAATTAAATTGTAGATTGTGTGCTTTATAATAAAAAAATTTTTGAGTTTTTTCAGAAGGGTGCAAAGTGAAAAGTTGGTGCCTCTGTATGATAAAGATGTGAAATGTCTTTTCTACTTTTCCCCTTTTTTTGTGAGCCATTTGACTCTACTAGCATAGGCATGTGGTCATGCATTTCCCCTAAAATGAATCCTTCAAGAGTAAGCTCATTCATTTGAGCATATCTGTCAACATCACTATGAAAGGAAGATATCAGTTTGCCATACCGTATGTACTGACTCAAAAGAGCACTGCCTGTCATTCACAAAATCAATGTCTTAGGTGAGCTGAGAAAGGAGTATAGAGATTGCTTTGAAATGACATCTTAAAGAGTGTTTCTAACATGTCTACAACCTCTGCTATTCAGGTGTAAAAGTGAAGAACTTGAAACATGCATAAAGACTTTATGAAGGCTGAGTGTGTGTATGTGTGCAGGCAATGATGCATTTACATCTCCATTCAGGACAGGTTCATCCTGCCAAAGTCACGTTTACACCTGTACCACCCTGGAAAAATGAACACACTTCTAGAAATTCTTAGGGACAATTCCACACTCTCCACACATTATGAGTTCCAGGAGATCACAGAATTTATGATGAAGAAGTTAAATGTCTAAGTAACACTTATTCACTGTCTGTGTGTTCTGAGTACTGTGCTAGGCACAGTCTAAGCCACACAAAGCTTGCAAACTTGTATTTCTCTACAGGCTCATATGTGGGCCTCCATGCTAGAGAATATTGGCCTTCACTTTAAACCTACACAGTGCACCTGAAATTCCCATCAGTGCTTCAGTGTGGCTTCCCAGAATCAACCAGAAGAAAAGATGACCAAACATGTCACATGTTCCACCCAGCCCCAAGTCAGGTTGAGTTAGAAGGAAGAGTTCCAGGAACAAGAAGTTGATTAAGAAAGGGGAGTGGTTTCAGCAAGGCATATCATTATGCAGGAAGGCCTTAAACAAAATGAATAAGGCATCAAGTACAAGATTGATAAATTCAGTTGTATCAAACTTTAAAACATTTATAACGACTGAAAACATCTACAGTTTTAAAAGATAATCAACTAACTAGAAGATACCTGCCACATATATAAAAATAGTTTGTGACCGGAATATTCAAAGGATTCCTGCAAATCAATAAGAAAAAAACAAAAAAAATAATAGGAAAAATGGGCAAAGGATATAAACAGGCCATTCCCTAAATAAGAATTACAAAAGGTCAGTAAACATATGAAAAGATACTTAAACTTACAAGAACAAATTGGGGAAATTATAACTGATTGCTACAACCTAATGTTAGTCAGCTGGAGTTGGGGGGAAATGTTGGGTACTCTAACAAGCTGCTGATGGGAAGGTAACTTGGTAAAGCCACTTTCGAGGGCAAAGATCTTAAAACTTAAAATATGTATGTACACCCCGACCCAGCAACTCTGTAACTCAACATCCACCCTAGAAAAACACACACATGTACAAGGGAAGGTATGTGCAAAGATATTCAATGAAGCATTGCTTGTGATAGCACACTCTGGAAATAACCTAAACATTCATCAGCTAGAAATGGCCAGACACTCGACAGCGTTTACATACAACGGAATATATGCAGCACTCTTAAAAATACTATTTTAAATACCCTTGGGTGAAAAAAAGAGTTGCATAATAAGTATCATGTACTATTTTTATGTATAAAAAAATTGGGGGGGGTTGGGGGGTCAGGTGCTGGCCAGTTTGCTCAGGTGGTTAGAGCGTGGTCCTGACAGCACCAGTATCTGGGTTTTGATCCCTATACTGACCAGCTGCAAAAAAAAAAAAAATTTTTTTTCACAAAGTAGTACTGTGTATACTTTCTATGTATATATTCAATAGGCGTGTTTTGCATGTACAGTAATTGATAACAGTGGTTAGCTCTTGGGAGATGTGAGAGCCAGGATTGAAGGTTGGAAAGAGAATCCATGTGGACATAAGTGCTTTAAAAAAACAGGTACTAACTGTATTGGGACATAAAGGAAAGCATATACATCCAGCTATAAGAGGCTTCTTACCAACATATTCCCCTACATGGTCTTGGCTTTTTGAGGCACTGATAATAAAGTGAACTTTTATATAAAATTCTTGAATAAAGGTTCTTATTGGTGGTACAGTACATTGTTTTTTATCAACAAGCTATAACAGCCCAGAATTTGTTGTATTAGAAAAGTAAAAAAAAAAAAAATCAATTTGTGAGTAATGAATTTGCAAGAAATCTATACTTGTCTTTTGCAACACAATAAATACCTTAATATAACAGCATCCAATACCAACTCTTTCTGTACTATTTCTAGATTGTCATGACAACCCTCGCAAAAGCTAAGTACTGATTAGAGTGTCTGCACTGTTGACCCTGAAGACGCATTAAAGAGGTGCTTTATTAGTCCCCAAACCTCACTACTGTAATTTACACTGTTAGAAATTAAAACCGGATACACAAGTGTTTTCCAGGTATAAAGTTCTAGGATTCATTACTGGAAATGAACCAGAAAGTATTTTTTTGTTAATTTAAAAAATTAAAAACTTCTAAAACAAACCACCCAAGGAAAATAAAATCCTTAGGTAGGTGTTTTGTTGTTAGTTCAATGAGCGAGAAAACTATTCTTATTTCACAGTAAAGAACAATGAAGAATTTTTTCCATCACACTTACCCAGCCTCCGTTTTGCCTTATCCATTCTCCCATGTTATTCATTATGAACTCAGCAACAAAATAAGAAATTTCCTTGTATGTGTCCACATCCAGGGCAATTTGCTCTCGTAGAAGCTTCTTGATGAGAATACCTCCGAATGCAAATATGGTCACAATCCTTCCCCAGTTAATTATGCCATCTTCAAATTCCTTTTCCATCACTTGATTGAATATTGTTCTGGCAGTATCTATGGACACAACATCAAAATGGTCCAAGCATGGTTTCAGATTCTTTTCAACTTCTTTTTGGACTGAGAAGGCCACGTTTTGGAGCACTCTGGATGTTTTGCTTGGACCCAATTCAGGTTGTGGTACTTGTAGGACGTACTGCAGGTAGTCCTGAGCCAGTGTGTGAACATATCCAAATTCACAGTCAGTCATCTTCAGCTTGGAGGGTAGCAGTCTTGAGCCGGTTCACTTGGAAGTTGTGGCAATCTGAACTCGGTGAGATTATGACACGTGGTGATATATGGAGGCTGGTGGAATTTCTGTTTGTATCACATTATGACATATCCTTCCTCTTAGTCACTTTCATGTGTAGGCTGTGTGTGAAAGAGAAAGTTCCAAATGTGAAAAGGAAAATGTTTCAAAGAGAGGTCACTTCCTTATCTTGTGGTGGTTCAGCTTTAAAATCTTCAATGCAAGGATGTGGAGGAATTACGATCCTCTTACATTGCTGGTGGGAATGTAAAGTGGTAAACCCCCTAGGAAAAAATTTAGCAGTTTCTCAAAAAGTTAAATACAGAATTACCAAAAGATCCAGCAATTCCATTCATAGGTACATACCCAAAAAATTGAAAACAGGTACTCAAACAAATACTTATATACGGATGTTCATACAATAGCCAAAATGTGGAAACAAACCACATGGTCATTAACAGATGAATGGATAAACAAATTATGCAAGATTATTCAGCCATAAAAAGGAATGAAGTATTGATATATACTACAACATGAATGAATCTCAAAAACGTTATGTTAAGAAGCCAAACAGAAAAGGTCATATATTGTATGATTCTGTATATGAAATATCCAGAATAGGTAAATCTGTAAAGACAGAAAGCAAATTGGTGGTTTGCAAGGACTGAGGGCCCGGGAGTGGGGGTGTGGTGGGGTGGGGGGTAACTGCCTAATGGGTACAGTTTTATTTTGTGTGATGAAATTTTGGAACCAGACAACGGTGGTAGTCGCATAACATTGTGAATATACTAAATGCCATTGAATTGTTCACTTTAAAATGGTGACTTATGTTATGTGAATTTTACCCCCCAAAAAGTCTTAAATGCAGCCCAGGGGGTAAACCAGATTAATGAAGATTTGGAATGGAGACTAGAGAACAGCCCGGGTGACAGAGAACAAGGGCCTCTCCAGGCTGCTCTGGTAGGACCACCCTTGATACTTTGGTACTTAAGTAAGGATGATATGGGGAGGGAAGAAGAAAATATCTCCTTTGGTCTTCACCAACCATTTACTCTAGAATTTCTGATAGAAAACAAAGTAGTGCTTTTATCCTGACTTAATCCATATTCTTGAGTCAGGTAAATTACCCAATATATGGATCAGAAATTCTGGGACCAGAAAGAGAACTTGACATGGAGTCAGAGGCCCTAGACTCAGTCCTAGCCAAATTCCCCTTCCCTTACTATGTGCCCTGGGTCTGTGCCAAATTTGTAAAATGAGGCAATGCATATTGACCTCAGAGGTTTGAGGTGAAGTTAAAAGAGATGATCTATGTAAAGCACCTATCAACCTGCCTGGTAAAAGATAGGTACTTAATCAATGCTAGTCCCTCATTCCTTTATGGACTAATGAAGAATTTGGCTTCCTGTCATCTCTTTACCCAGCAAAGGTATAACTTCATAAGTGCACAGTTTGAAGTGAAATGCAAATCTCATTTTATTTAGCTTTGGCAGCAGTTCTGAGAAAAGGTTGGCAGTGATGGTGAAATTACCGGCTAAAAGGAACACAGGGGATTTGGGGGTGAAATTCAAGTCTCCACGTACTTGTACATAGTAATTAAGGCAACTACCAAACACTTGTAGGAGGTGGAGAACCGTATTCCTGTCTGATACCTGCAAGCTGAACAGCCATTGTTGCTGGTGGGCAGGAGTAGTGGGTGGAAGGAAAAGAAGACAATCCATGGTCCCTAGAGAAACTGAATATACTTTTGTTCCCCTCCACATATGGAGTGACTTTGATTCTTTGCATCAGTGTCTATGTATGGACAGCTGCAAACAGAAGAAAAGATTCATATATAACTTGTATTTCTGAACTATCACCACAGGGCTAGGGAGAAAGGGAGAGATGTTCCTTACGGTGCCAGTTAATGGGGACTTGGAGCGGCTGTGAAAAGGGAGCTCTCAGACCTACTGCAAGAATGTAATTGACTAAGGTCCCCAGCACTGTGCCTTCCTTCTCTGACTCTGCACTGTTTTGTAAGTCAACCTCCTGTGATGGGTATCTTTGGTTCAATAACTCCCCATTGGCTTTGCAAAAACTTTCTTAGACTGCACTGCAATCTAATACTCTTCCTACCCCATCTTCCTTCCACCTCTCTCTTCCTTACAAGGATCAGTCTAGCATTGTGGTCCAACAGCTCTCCTGCCTCTTCTGCCTCCTTCCCCATTTTCCCTCACAGGCTTTTTCCCCAATAAATCTTTTACACATCTATCTAATCCCCTCGTGGCATTTTCTTCTTGGGGTACCCAGACTGACATGAGACTTGCACAGAACAAAGGAGCATGCAGATGTGTGGTCCAGCCTCTTCTCCAGGATTTCCCCTGGGGAAGTCCTCCCATGCCCTCTTAGACTAGGCCTGTTGACCCTCAGGAACACAAAGCTAATAGCAGGCTGCCGCTTTCTCTTCTCAAATTATCTGAGTATCATAAGAATCACTGGAAGGATGGGAAGTTTGCATTTTTTGCCCCCATCACATTCCCATGTTGCTGAGCATTTCTGAAAAAGATAATAGAAGCGTGTGGCTTAAGAGCTGCAACTGAGCATTCTGAGGTCAAGGTCTATCTTTTTTTCTCTCCGCATCCAGTGCCCAAGCCTTGATCCAGGGAAGACAGTAGTTGATCTTTGTTGAGTAAATGAAATGGGTTTATATCACGAATTTAGGACTTTATATTCTGATCTTCTGGATCAGAAAAGGAGTTGCTTTTAAAATTCTTAAATATTGTGGCCAGGTTTAGTTCATTTGGAAGAATTTCCAAATAATCACTTTTCAAGGATAGGTGGGAGAGAGGAAAGACAAAGTCTTTTCCAAGGGAGCGGGGGCGGGGGGGGAAGGAATTATTTCTTTGTATATAAAGTGAAAAAGGACAGGGGTGAGGTGGGGTGGAGGTAAGTGTTGGTCAGAAGTAAATAACTGACCATGAACCAGGTGTAAAGACATAGGGAGGTGTCCTTTCTCAATGCCACTATACCATTATAATCTGAGTCTGCACCCACCCGAGTCTACTATACAGGCCCATTAGGACCAGCTCATAGTTCCCCATCCTCTGAGCACCTCTGTCTACATGTGAGATTTTGTATGAAATTAAGAATCCACCACAAGTACACTCTGAGCGAGTCAACCAGAATGGGTGGGATCTGGAAACCATATGTGTACTCAGTTATTCCATAGGCATACACTAAGCTGCTGCTGTGCATCAGGGACTGTATTAGGTGTTGGAGATAAAAATTCCTGCCCTCAAAGAATTTTCAGTCTGGGAGAAACTATGCCATAGTATAGGCAGTGAAAAGAACTGCAGAAGGGAATAATTAGAGGAAGTCACTGCAGGAGCTTCAAATACAGACATCTTCCCTGGAACACAGAGCCAGGTGTGCAGGCACGCAACAGCTCTGAGGTTCTGGGAAGATCAGTGATACTGATCTACTGTGGACGGATTGGGGAGGAGGTGATGACGGAAGATGATTTACCAAATCTGTCCACACTTAACAAGTGCGTATGGCCTCACCAAGGTTTTCTCTATGCTTGTTTTGTCCAGAAATTTCTACTGAAGAGGCATGAAATCCTGGCTTGGGCTGAGAGAACTACTAGTGTTTGTCATGGAAATAACATAAGAAGAGTACAAATCAACCTAATAATTAACAACTTCTTCCATTTGTAAAGTGCTTTGGACTACAATATTGCAATTATACATATAAATGAACTACGACCTCATGTATTTTCATTGAGCTTATGTAAATTGCCACATTTATACACATATATTCCAGTTATCCATTGCTTTGTAACAAACCACCCCCCAAAACTTAGCAGCTTAAAACAACAATCATGTATTTTGCTCAGGAACCTGAAATTTGGGGAGGACTCAATAAGAGTGGTTGGTCTCTGTTCCATGATGTCTGTCCCGGGCTTAGCAGGAATGACTCAAACATTGGGGTCTCTTTTCTGCTCTGACCAGGGAACAGAGAGCAATGGCTGACAAGGGTTAAGTTTCAATGGGGAAGAAGAAGGAAGAACACTGAAGCCACCCTGGCTGAGTGACCAGAGGAATGCAAGCTCCAGGACAAGGTGCGTGACGTGGAGGAGAGACTACTGAGGTCAACTTCTCTTTTCCTCGAAGATGGAACCTGAAGTTTGCCAGGCTTTTGCCTGCTTCAGAGGAAATGGCTCAGGGAACTCCCACTGTTGCTTTGCTCTTTAGCTCCTCTGAGCTTATCGCAACTACTTCCCTATACCAAGGGCCTGGCCAGAACAAATTCTCTACAGAGAATAATCATCTTCAAAGAGTGACACAATCGTAACACAAAAGGGAGGGGGAAAGTATGCACCAGCAGCCACCTGCATGTCCTCCTGTCATCTCCCTTGGTCTCATGGGGCCAAGCCTTGATAGTCAGAAAACACCAGGGAGGAAAGTCCACTCTCCCCCATCCCCACCCCCTTTGACCTCATCAAGAAAAGCTCAATGTGACAAAGCTCCTGGTGGGAGCTTAGTTTCTATCTGAGACCACCAATTCCAGGAAATCCTATGAGCACAGCATGCAAGAAGGATTTCCCACCAATTTTCCTGTTGTATTTGGAAGCAAGGCTTAAGAGGATACTGGACAGAGCCACTAGCTGTGAGCCAAGGGAGCTGAGAGGCAAGAAAGGAAGGAGAGAAGGGTCAGGAAACCTGCCAGTGGGGTAAAATGTTTTAACTAAGGTTGCAGAGGCCACAAAGGAGAGGAAGGAGGAAGGATGGGGAGAGAAAGCAAGGAGAAAGCAAACTGAGGGGAGGTCGGAATTATGGATGGTCCTGTATGAAATGGAATATCTTTGTGCAACATGTAATAATGTCACTCACTAACATGTCCTTCGTCATCCCCTCCCACAGGTCTGTGCGTGCAGGTGTGATCACCAGTCTTTCCTGACCTTTGCCCCATCTTACTCTAATGTCCATTGCTCCTTCCACTCACCCACTCAGGACCTTCCAAGGGCTCCCTCTTGCCTATGAAGAGGAACTAAAACTCCAAAAAGGCTCTTCATGCTCTGACTCGGCCTCTCCAGTCAACCTAATCTCAGCCCACTCCAGTTCCCTGCAATGCCTGCCCTGACACTGCCAGGCAGTCTCCTGGCTCCAGCAGTTTGTTCTTCCTGTCATCTCTAACTGAAACGGCTATTCTCTCTCATTCCTGTGTCTCCAGATCTTCTCCATCTTCAAGGCCCAGTCAAATAAAGCCTTCCCTATTCACCCTAGCCAGGAACAAATCTCTTAGTGTGTGCTCCCGTGGAATTTGTACCTGTGTAACAGCAAGTCTCATGGTGGATCTTACACTGCAGCGATTATGTCGTTTTGTGCCCTTTGCTAGACTCCAGACTGGCAGCTGTCCTAGCAAGAGGGCTGTCTTGTTTTTCTTTGATTCCTTCAGAAGGCCCAGCACAGTGACTGGCACATGCAAAGCACATGACAAATGTTGGCTGGATTCTATTATTATCAATGCCATCATTATCAGTGATGTTGAATGTTTTACAGATGGCCCGCTTCATAAGCAGGCTGATACTGTGACTGAAACTGTACTAGCTTTTCTGTTATGTTTTTCTCAACCAAGCAAAAGCAAAATTGTCCTTTCTTTTCTCAAATGTCATCTGGGGGGAAGTACAAGAGGAAAGCCCATTTGAATAGGACATTTAAGTGATTTGGGCAGAGGACCTTGGACTTTCCACTGCCTTGAATAGAAAAAAGGTTCAACACAAACCAAAGAAGCAGAAGTACTCAGTGACAGCAAATGAAACGGGGCCCCTCTAGGGAAAGTGTCTGCAAGAGTTAAGGCCTCAGAACACACCAAAGAGCAAAGTGCAGACAGCTGACAGCCACTCACTCAGCCAGTAGCTCAACAAACTTTCCCGAGCACTTACCACATGCCTGGCCTTGAGCTGGGCTCCAGGGATATGTATGCATAGGTTTTATTTCATTAACACATGGTGTAATGGCGGCAGGGGCCAGGGGAGGCAGGGAGTGACACAGACCACCAGAAAAGTCACCTGCAGAATGTTAAGGGCCACAATACAAAATGACAGGAAAGTTCAGCCTGGAAAAGGAAACGAGGCCTTCCCAGAGGAGGCTGACATATAAGCTGGCTCTTAGGGGATAAATAGAATGTCCCCAGGCACAGAGCACAGCACTGGTAAATATATTCAGGTGTAATTCAAGAAATATGCTCCCAATGAGGCTGAAATGTAGAATCCAGGGTTGTGGATAAGTTGTAAGAGGTGAGCAGAATTCAGGTCATAGCAGACTTCTGTCCTGGGTTAGGACTTCGGAACTGACTATAAAAAATAGAAGGAAACTTTAAAGGGGGTTAAGCAGGAAAATAACACGGTTAGATCTGCATTTTAGGAAGATTATTTGGACAGTACCATGTATAGTGGATTGGTTCCTGGGGAAACTGGAGCCAGGAAAAGGGGTTTGTTTTTTAATCATCATCCTTGTTGAGGTACAATTTTCAAACAATAAGATCCATCCACTTTGAGCATACACTTCAGTGAGTTTTGCCAAATGTAAATACAAATGTAAACATCCCTACCAAGATATAAAACATTCCCACCACTCCAAAACGTTTCCTCATTCCCCTTTGCAGTCAGTGTCATACGACCCCCTGGCCACAGGCAACCATTGATCTGCTGGTCTTGAATTTCATATAAATGAAATCAACCAATTTGTACTCTTTCGTGTCTAGCTTCTTTTACTTAGCATAATGATCTTGAGACCCATCCACGTTGTTGAATACATCAATAGTTTTCTCCTCTTCATGACTGAGTAATATATCCCACCGTGTGGGTATGCCACAATCAGTTTGCCCATCCTCCTGACCACGCACTCAGCCAGCTGCCCAACAAACCTTGCTAAGCACTTACCACCTGCCAGACCCTGAGCTGAGATCCAGAGGTACATGTACACAGGTTTCGTTTCATTAACACACAGTGTGATGGGGGTGTCACATTTGTGTTGTTTACCATTTTTGACTATCGTGAATACAGGTGCTGTAGATGTTCACATATAGATTTTTTATTAACAGAAGTATTCAAATGTCATAAGTATGTCGCAGATATCAGTTGACTATTGCTACATTAATGCTGCATAATAAACTTCCCCCAAAGTCAGTGCCATACACCAAACATCATTCTCTCATTCTTGTGGGACCAGTGGTCTGCAATGGGATGTACCTTTCTCGTGGAGATGGCAGAAACACAGCAGTACAAGCCCAACCACAGAGGCTCATTTCAAGCCTCTGTGGAGTACATCTGTTAACACACTCCTTAGACAAACACACCACTCCACCCCTACCACATCTACATTGCCACATGGCCAATCCTCTAGTGGGAGGGCAGTGAATATTTGCTGAATAATCCAAACTGTCACACCAGCTACCAAAGAAGTCCCTCACTTGGTAAAGAAAAACTGGAGCTTCACTGATCTGGTTATTGTAGTGAACATCTATTGTTCATCTGCCCTGCACTCTTCCCTTCTTTTAGAAACAGCATTTCCCTTTTTCTGAGAAACTTTCTGTTCACCCACTTCAATCATAATGTTCCATTTGGAGGTATCAGATTGCTACAAAACCCTCCAACCACTGATTCCAGTTAATCCAGGAGTAGGTATTTGACCCAACCAGAGCCAATCAGAGCCCTCCCTCAAGATTTTTTTTTTTTTCCTTTTTGTCTTTCTTCGTGACCGGCAACGGATCGCAACCCTCAGTGTCACGCCCATACCGGACCAGGACCGGCAACAGGATCGCAACCCTCGGTGTTGCGCCCGCACCTCGCTCAGCCAGTGAGCGGCCGGTCTGTATGTGGGATCCGAACCCTCGGTGGGAGCGCCACCACACTCCCAAGCGGCGCACTGTAGCAGTGCACCACCGGGCCAGCCCTAAGATTTTTAATTTTGATAGCAAAGCGAGGATGATTCAATCCTCTCCAGAGTGCAAGTTCTTCACATGAGGCCCCAGAGTTTTCGTGGCTCTTGGGTGTCTCACTTTGGGAAGGAAGTTGGTAAAAGTGAATGGAGTCCATAAGCAGAAAGAAGAAGAGATGACAGGGGTAGCAGGGAGAGTCCTGGTGGTCTTCAAGCCCTCGGTTGAAATCTTCCATCCCATATTTAGGTACTGAAACATCTAAGAGCCCTTCCAATAAATTCTTCTTTTTGTCATCTCTTATGAAAGGGCTTCAGACAAATATATTTCCCAAACACAGTGCCATTGGGAGAATAGGCTTTGGCTCTACTGAGAAAATTCTTGAAAGGGGGTTGGGATAAAAGATTCCTGAGAAGGAAACCCTGTTCGTAGTAGAGTGAATGGCTGCCGTAGTGAGCTGATGTATGGTGAGCTTCCTGTGTTTCTCCCTTCCCGGCACCCCTTCTCTTCTTCTGGTTAACAGAAGTGCACTCTCCTGGGGGCGCAGTCTCATGTGGTCTGGGTGGGACTGTCCTTGGCACTCCCTCCCACCCCCACGCTCCTCGACAGTGAAGGTACTGGCTCCCTCACCTTCTTGCACAGGACTTTCTTCTGCAATTCTCTCCACAGTTTCCTAGACCAGCAAGTTTGTTCCTAACTACTGGAACATTTCCATCAGCAAGATAAATACTTTGGAACTCCTCTCATCTTAAAAGAAAAAAATTCTCCCTTGACTTCCATCCCCTGATAGCTGCTACCATATTTTTCTTCTTCTTACAAGAATTTTCTATACTTTCTGTCCCCATTTCCTCCCATCACATTCTCCCTGGAACCTACTCCAATTAGCCCTTTATCCCCACCCTTCTACCAAAATTGTTCCTGTCAAGGCATGACCTTCTTAACTCTGGCCAATGGTGATGTGAGATATCAGAGAAACTTCTGGACTCTGTTGTTGACTCCTACCAGTGTAGATGTGGTAGGTGTGGAGTGGTGTGATCTGATCCAGAACATGCAGAATTCTAAGGCTTCTTGTTCCCAAAGCCTTTCTCCAAACTCTAGACTCATACATCCAACTTCCTGCCTGACCTCTCCACTTGAATATCTAACAGGCATCACAAACCTAACATGTCCACACTGAACTCTTAATTTCCCACCTTCCTCCAGCCTACTCCTCCCACAGTGTTCCTCATCTGTGGAAAGGCCTCACCACCCACCCTGTTCCAACCACTCAGGATACTTGCTTGTCTTCTCTATTTATTTTACATCCCATATCTGATCTATCAGCATACCCTAACAACTGTCTTCAAAATCTATCCCAAATCTGACCATTTCTCACCACTTTCACTGCTACCAATCCTAGTCCAAACCACCACCATCTCTTGTGACAAAAAATTCAGTGGTCCGCCAACCAGCATCTCTGCTTCTGTTCTTTCCCAACAACCTACGTCTTTCAGGACCACCAATTCCCTTTATTCCCTTTGCACGCACACCCCTGCCCCTCCTTCATGCCATCATTCTCTTTACCCACACCCTGCTTGCCACTGTCACCTAACCACCAGCAGTAGCAGCCCCCGCCCCCAGAAGAGGGCTCAGCCTGGCAGATAAGGAATAAGAGCAAGAGGAAGATCTGCCAGGAGTTTTCAGAGCCCGTTAAAACTAAAGTACCTGCCATCTGCATGGAGGATGAGCTGTGTGGAAGATGAGAGAAAATCACAGCTATGCTCCACCTTCCCTATCGAATACTGTGACATCTGGCTGAGGTTTCCTGTTGGACAGATGAGAAGGTAGATCTATTCCAGGACACCCAGCCCTGGAAGCCCTGAAGCCTATGGAAAGAGATTTTTACATCACTGGTTCCGGCTTCATTGCAGCAAGTGATGGAGCTGGACATGAAAACTTGGTGAGATGATTTAGTCACAAAGTACAGGTTACAGAAGCATGGTGTTTCTATGGCTTCCCAGGAGACATGGACAACATGCATTCTGAGATGTACAGTCTCCTTATTGACACTTAAGTAAAAGATTCCAAAGAGGAAGGCTTTCTCTTCAACACCATTGAAATGATGCCCTGTGAAAAGGAGAAGACCAGGAAGCTACTGGTGGGGAGTGGCCTTTGCGGCAGGGGAGGAAATCTCTTCTGGTGCTTTTGTACCGCCATTCTGCCTCAAGTAACAAGGGTCGATTCCTGGGATCCCATTCGCCAATGAAATTACCAGCAGAGATGAGGTTTACACTGTGGCTTTGCCTACCTAATATTTGAACACCTGTTATACAAACCTTCAGAGTGAAAAGTAAATGAAATAATTATCAGTGCTATTAG